CTACTTCTCTGATTGCTTGTTATTGGTATATAGAAAGGCTACAGACATTTGTAGGTTAATTTTGTAACCTGCCACTTTACTGAACATATTAATACTTTCTAGGAGTTTTCTGAAGGAATTTTTGGCATCTCTAAGATATAATATCATATCATCTGCAAAAAGGATAATTTGATCTCTCCTTTTCCAATTGTTACTCTTTAATCTCCTGCTCTTGTCTTATTGTTCTTGCAAGAGTTTCAAGCACTATGTCAAAGAGAAGTGGAGATAGTGGCCAGCCTTTTCTGTTCCTGATTTCAATTGGAATGCTTCCAGTTTTTCTCCATTTAGAATGATGTTGGCTGTGGGTTTGTTATATATGGCTTTAATTATGTTGACGTATGTTCCCTCCAGTCCAATTCCCTCTAGGAATTTGAACATAAATGCATGTTGAATTTTGTCAAAGGCCTTCTCTGCATCTGTTGAGATGACCATGTGGTTCTTGTCTTTGAGCCCATTTATATGATTTATGACATTTATTGACTTACGTATATCGAACCATCCCTACATCTCTGGGATAAAGCTGACTTGATCATGGCGGATGATCTTTTTGGTGTGTCTGTATGCAGTTTGCAAGTATCTTGTTGAGAATTTTTGCATCTATGTTCATTAAGGATATTGGTCTATAGTTTCCTTTTTTGGTTATATCTTTACCTGGCTTTGGTATTAGAGTTATGCTGGCTTCCTGGAAGGAATTTGGAAGTTCTCCCTCCATTTCTATATTTTTGAATAAATTAAGTAGTATTGGATGTAGATCTTTTTAAAATGTCTGATTAAATTCTGCTGTAAATCCATCTGGTCCTGGGCGTTTTTTTAGTCCGGTGGTTTTGTATTACTGTTTCAATTTCTTTTTGTGTTATGTGTCTGTTTAAGTTGCTGTTTCAATTTCTTTTGTGTTATGTGTTTGTTTAAGCTGTTAATCTCTTTTGGTTTAGTTTTGGTGGTTCCCATGCTTTTAGGTACCTATCCATTTCTTTTTGTCCATTTCTTTTAGGTTTTCAAATTGAGTAGCATATACATTTTAAAAGTATTCCCTTATAATGTTCTGTATCTTTCTGATGTCTCTTGTTATGTTTCCCCTTTCATCTCTGATTTTGTTGATTTGGAGGTGCTCTTTCTTTTGGTTAACTGGGCTAGCAGTCTATTAATCTTGTTTATCTTTTCAAAGAACCAGCTCTTGGTTTTGTTGATTCTTTGTATTGGTTTCTTTGTTTCAGTTTCATTAATTTCTGCCCTGATTTTTGTTATTTATTCTTGTCTGCTGGGTTTGGGTTTCATTTGTTGTTACTTTTCAAGTGTCTTGAGTTGCAATGTTAAGTCATTTATTTGTGTTCTTTCCTATTTTTTGATGTAGGCACTTAGAGCTATAAACTTCCCTCTAAGGACAGCTTTCAGCATGTCCCAGAGGTTTTGTTGTGTTGTACCATCCTTTTCATTTAGTTCCAGGAATACTTTTATTTCTTTCTTATTTCTCTTTTGAACCATTCATCATTCAGGAGTTTGTTGTTTAATCTCCATGTGTTCGTGTGGTGACTAGGGCTTCTTCCACTGTTGATCATAAGCTTTATTGAATTGTGGTCTGATAGAATGCATGGAATTATTTCAATCTTTTTGTATTTGCTGAGCTTTGTTTTGTGCCCCAGTATATGGTCGATTTTGGAGACGGTTCCATGGGGTGCTGATTAGAATGTATGTCCTTTGGTGCTTGGGTGGAATACTCGGTAGATGTCTGTTAAGTCCATTTAATATTTGGTATTGTTTAATTCAAATGTCTCTCTGTTAACTCTCTGCCCTATTGACCTATGTAATGGGGACAGTGGGGTATTTAAGTCCCCTACAATTAACGAGTTGGGATTAATCTGGGTCTTAAAGTCCTGTAGTATTG